GCTGTGGGTGCATATGCCAAAGGTACAATCAGGCTGTGGGTGCATATGCCAAAGGTACAATCAGATTCCTTTGTGGAAGACACAATTTTTTCTAAAGAATTTACCATAATATATCTAATCCATGCATGATATCATGAAAAAATAGATACAAATTTTTTACTGCTAATAAGCTCATGGGCTTTGGGTGTGAAGATGTGTCAAACCTAAATACCCAAGAAGCATTAGCTCTCCCTGAAAAGGAGGTGATCCAGCCTCACCTTCCAGTACAGCTACCTTGTTATGACTTCACTCCAGTCACTAGCTCTGCCTTCGGCACCCCCCCCCCCCCCCCCCTCCTTGTGGTTAAGGTAACGACTTTGGGCATGGCCAGCTCCCATTGTGTGACGGGCGGTGTGTACAAGGCCCGGAATGAATTCACTGCCATATGGCTGACCGACAATTACTAGCGATTCCGGCTTCATACAGGCGAGATGCAGCCTGCAATCCGAACTTAGGACGTTTTTTTGGAGTTAGCTCACCCTCGTGGGATCGCGACGTTTTGTCCCGGCCATTGTAGCACGTGTGTCACCCAGGGCATAAGGGGCATGATGACTTGACGTCATCCTCACCTTCCTTCGGCTTATCACCGGCAGTCTTTTTAGGGTTCTAAACTCAACGATGGCAACTAAACACGAGGGTTGCGCTCGTTGCGGGAGTGCTTTCGCCGTTGGTGTTCTTTCTGAACTCTACGCATTTCACCGCTCCACCGGAAATTCCCTCTGCTCCTACCGTACTCAAGCTTGGTAGTTTCCACCGCCTGTCCAGAGTTGAGCACTGGGATTTGACGGCAGAATTAAAAAGCCACCTACTGACGCTTTACGCCCAATCATTCCGGATAACGCTTGCATCCTCTGTATTACCGCGGCTGCTGGCACAGAGTTAGCTGATGCTTATTCCCTAGATACTGTCATTGCTTCTTCTCTGGGAAAAGAAGTTCAGGACCCGTAGGCCTTCTACCTCCACGCGGCATTGCTCTGTCAGGCTTTCGCCCATTGCGGAAAATTCCCCACTGCTGCCTCCCGTAGGAGTCTGGGCCGTGTATCAGTCCCAGTGTGGCTGATCATCCTCTCAGACCAGCTACTGATCATCGCCTTGGTAAGCTACTAATCAGATGCGAGCCCCTCCTTGGGCGGTTCTCCTTTTGCTCATCAGCCAACAGGGTATTAGCAGCATTTTCCAGCTGTTGTTCCCCTCCCAAGGGCAGGTTCTTACGCGTTACTCACCCGTCCGCAAATAGAAACACCACTTCCCGTCTGACTTGCATGTGTTAAGCATGCCGCCAGCGTTCATCTTGAGCCAGGATCGAACTCTCCATGAGATTCATAGTTGCATTACTTATAGCTTCCTTCTTTGTAGACAAAGCTGATTCGGAATTGTCTTTCATTTCGAGTCAAAACTTGTATCCATGCGCTTTATATTCGCATGGAGTTCGCTCCCAGAAATATAGCTACCCTTACCCCCTCACGTCAATCCCACGAGCCTCTTATCCATTCTTATTCGATCACAGCGAGGGAGCCAGTCAAAATAGAAAAACTCACATTCATTGGGTTTAGGAATAATCAGGCTCGAACTGATGACTTCCACCACGTCAAGGTGACACTCTACCGCTGAGTTATATCCCTTCCCCCATCAAGAAATAGAACTGACTAATCCTAAATCAAAGGGTCGAGAAACTCAAGGCCACTATTCTTGAACAACATGGATTGGAGCTGGGATTTCCTTTCGCACTATTACGGATATGAAATGAAAATAATAGAAAAAGTTGGATTCAATTGTCAACTACTCGTATCGGAAATAGGATTGACGACGGATTTGAGCCATAGCACATGGTTTCATAAAACCGTACGATTCTCCCTATCTAAATTAAGCCAGTTTTACGTGAAGAAGATTTGACTCAGCATGTTCTATTCGATACGGGTAGGAGAAGCGGTATTCTTTTCTTAAACTTAAAAATATAGATAAATCAGAACCAAGTCAAGATGATACGGATTAATCATTTATTCTTGCGCCAAAGATCTTCCTATTTCCAAAGGAACTGGAGTTACATCTCCTTTCTATTTCTATTCAAGAGTTCTTATGTGTTTCCACACCACTTTAAGACCCTAAAAAATTGACAAATTCCCTTTTCTTAGGAACATGTGCGAGATAACAAAGAAAAAAAGAGAGAATGGTAACCTCACGATTAACTATTTCATTTATGAATTTCATAATAATAGAAATACATGTCCTACCGAAACATAATTTGTAACTTGCTATCTTATAATCTTGCCTAGCAGGCAACGATTCCACTCCACAAAAAGATGAGTCATTCGGATCAACATGAAAGCCCAACTACATTGTATTGCCAGAATTCATGTTATATATTGGAAAGAGGTTAACCTCCTTGCTTCTATGGTACAATCGCTGAGCCTCCTTTCTTCTCGGTCCATAGGGACAAAATGTAGGACTGGTGCCAACAGTTAGTCACGGAAGAAATGACTCACTGCGCCAAGATCACTAACTAATAATAATCTAATAGAATATAATAGAAAATCCTAATATATTGGAAAAAAAACTGTCTTTTATGTATACTTATGTATACTTTCCCCGGTTCCGTTGCTACTGCGTCTTTACGCAATCGATCGGATCATCTAGATATCCCTTTAACACAATGTAGGTCGTCGAAAGGATCCCGAAGACCCGCCAAAGCACGAAAGCCAGGATCTTTCAGAAAATGAATTCCTATTCGAAGAGTGCATAACCGCATGGATAAGCTCACACTAACCCGTCAATCTAGGATCCAATTCGGGATTTTTCTTGAGGGATATTGGTAAGGAGTTGGAATGTAATATTATCGATTCATAATGGATTCATATCGATACAGAAGAAAAGGTTCTCTATCGATTCAACAAGTGCTGTACTTATGGGAAAGCGATCGAGAAAAAGAAAAAAAATGAAGATTTTACATAGTGATTTTTATTTTTGATCAATAATAAATCTGATTGAATTTATTTCATACCTTCGCTCAATGAGAAAATGGGTCAGATTCTATAGAATCAAACCTATGGGACTTAAGAATGATGGAAGGAAATAAAATAAAATAAAAAGAAATCAAATAAAGAAAAGAGAGGGAAAAATAAAGAAATAATAAGTAAATAAAAATGAAGTAGAAGAACCCAGATTCCAAATGAACAAATTCAAACTTGAAAAAGTCTCTTTCTGATTTTCGAAGAATGAGGGGCAAAGAGATTGATCGAGAAAGATCTCTTGTTCTTATTATAAGATCTTATGAATGGACTTGCAGATGTTTGGTGATATCTCATACATTTCCATCATTTTTGGCTTGCATTTAGTGCATGTTTTTGTTCTCTTTTGCATGTTTTTCTTATCTTTAGTTTCATTTTCTTCTCCTTTTAGACTTAGGTTGCATTTAGTGTGTAGTTTGCATTTTCTTTACATCAATGATGTTTTTAGGTGCTTATGGAGCTGAAATGAGCAAGGAGTAAGTGTGTGAGTGGATCAGGAGGCTAGCCCAGCCAAGAGGACACAAGAGGAGCCAAGGAAGACGTTTTTGGAGTCCTACCGGTCAAGCTATCAATCAAGTCAAGACCGATAGGGAGCTATCGATCAGACCATCAGTCAAAGAGTGAACGATGGAAATGCAACTGATGTATCGGTCACCTTATCGATCGGATAGTGATCGATAGAAACAAATCAGTTGTATTCCGATCACCCTATCGGTAACCTTCAAGACTGATGGTCACTCTATCGATCACAGTATCGATCACCTATGATCGATATGATCCAGTCCGAACATGCTTCTATTTACTATTTTGCCGTTATGGTAGGGCATTTATCTTTTAGTATAAATACCATGTTCATATAATTTTTAGAAAGGATCTTAAGTGTCTTTTTAGTTTACTGTTCTTAGTTAATTTTTCTGTTTTTGTAAGACAAATTCTATCTTTGCTTAATCTAAGTTTGTATTTGCCTTTAATCTTTTCTTAATCTCATTATTTATCATGTTTAGCATCTCTTCTCTTTGTGATTTTATGTTCAACTTGATGATGAGTGAGTAGTTACCTTAAGGGTTTCTAGATGTGGTAGATTAGGGAAATTTAGAAGCTTATCTAAGGTTTGTTAGTGCTTAATAACATTGATTCCTATCTATTAATCTGTTCTTAAGCTATATTTGTATTGATCTCATAAATCTAGACCTAGACTTCATTTTATGCTCACCAAGTGTTTGATGAAATGCTGATCTTGGTTAATAGAGGATTTACTGGCTTTAGCTCAAGAAATTGACTGTTTGCGGAGTATTTTGACTTGAATAGAGCTGGTTTATCATGCTTGTTGAATGTTCTAGCACTAATGAGAATTAGTTCTTGTTAGGATGTTTAGCAAAGTGCTATTTGTCAAGAGATTGAGCTTAGCTTGCTTGTTTGTGAACTCTATGTCTTGCTTGTTTGTGAACTCTATGTCTAGGAATCAGCATTGCTAGCTTGTTTACTTGATCAATGATGTTTGTAACAACCTTAGTTAGCTTTTGAATTCTCCAAATTCAATAACCACATCTAGGAACTTGCCTTCTCTTTATTTGAATTTTGAATTTGCCATTTACTCTGTTTATTTGCTCTGTTCTTGCTTTATATGATCATTGCTAAGTGTTCACTTTATGTTCTGTTGGTGTTTGATCATCTTAGTTTGTTAGTTTGGTTGCTTTGCAACACAATCTTCTTTGTTTCACCTGACTTAGAGCTTTCTACTTGCTACTCTTCTGCTATTCAACTTAACTCCCTTTGGATAGACATAAAAACCCAAATACTACAATTGACTAGTACAATGGGTGATTGACATAAGAGGTAAAAACTCTTGTATCATTTGGTAAAAAGAATAATCTTATCCTTTGAGAATAATCAAAAATAGAAAGTGTTCAATTGGAACATGAAAACGTGACCGAGTTTGTCCTAGTCACTCTTCAGGACGGAGTAGAAGAAGGGAGGAAATTCACGAACGAGGAAAGGGACCCAATGACTTCGAAAGAATTGAACGAGGAGCCGTATGAGGTGAAAATCTCATGTACAGTTCGGTATAGTGGCAGTAAGGGTGACTTATCTGTCAACTTTTCCGCTATCCCCCCCCCCCCCCTCCCAAAAAAAAATCAAACTCAGCCTTACGTAATGTTGCCAGAGTACAATTAACCTCGGGATTTGAAATCATTGCTTATATACCTGGTATTGGCCATAATTTACAAGAACATTATGTAGTCTCAGTAAGAGGTTGAAGGGTTAAGGATTTACCCGGTGTGAGATATCACATTGTTCGAGGAACCCTAGATGCTGTCAGAGTAAAGGATCGTCAACAAGGGTGTTCTAGTGCGTTGTAGATTCTTATCCAAGACTTGTATCATTTGAATGATGCCACGTGAATCGCTAGAAATATGTGAAGTGTATGGCTAACCCAATAATGGAAGTTCCGTAAGGGGACTGGAGTAGGCTACCATGAGGCAAAAGATCTTCTTTGAAAAGAGATTCGATTCAGAACTCTTATATGTCCAAGGTTCAATATTGAAATAATTTCAGAGGTTTTCTCTGACTTTGTCCGTGTCAACAAACAATTCGAAATGCTTTCAATTTTTTAGAACAGGTCTGGGTCAAATAGCAATTATTCGAAGCACTTATTTTTACACTATTTCGGACACCCAGGGACTCAGTCGTATGGATATGTAAAATACAGGATTTCCAATCCTAGCAGGAAAAGGAGGGAAACAGCTACTTTAAAAGTGAGTAAACAGAATTCCATACTCGATTTCATAGATACATATAGAATTCTGTGGAAAGCCGTATTCGATGAAAGTCGTATGTACGGTTTGGAGGGAGATCTTTCATATCTTTCGAGATCCACCCTACAATATGGGGTCAAAAAGCCATAATAAAAGATTTGAGCCCTTATAAAAAGAAAACAGATTCTTGAACCCCTTTCACGCTCATGTCACGTCGAGGTACTGCAGAAGAAAAAACTGCAAAATCCGATCCAATCAATGGAGTGAGTGAAGATGGCTTCAAACTCAGTTTATTTCCTTTATCTCTTGGAGACAAAGCACACAAATGGGAGAAGAACCTGCCCCAAGGGAGTATCACCAGCTGGGATGAGTGCAAGAGAGCCTTCTTAGCAAAGTTCTTCTCTACTTCAAGAACTGCAAGAATAAGAAATGAGATTTCAGGGTTTGCACAGAGGAACAATGAAAGCTTTGGTGAAGCTTGGGAGAGATTCATGGGCTACACATTGCACTGCCCTCATCATGGCTTCTCACAAGCCTTTTTGCTCTTCACTCTCTACAGAGGAGCCTTGCCTAAGATAAGAATGGTTTTGGACACTGCATCAAATAGGAACTTCCTATCAAAAGATGTGGATGAAGGCTTGGAGCTGGTAGAGAATTTGGCTCAGTCTGATGGAAACTACAATGAGGAATTTGACAGAGCTCCAAGAAGTGCAAAGGATTAGTTAGAGTCTAGCAGGAAAGAAATCAAGTCTTTACATGAGAAGCTGGATTTGTTGCTAAGGGAGAAGAAACAGGTCAACCTTGTGGGAGACATGGTTCAGCTTGATGATCAAGAGCAATGCCAAGTTGAGGAGATGAACTACTTGGGCAATCAAGGTGGATACAATAGCTATGGGAACTACATACCAAATCCCAACTTATCTTACAGGAGCAACAATGTTGCTAACCCACAGGATCAGGTTTACCCTCAACAGCAACAACAAGCTGCCCCCAAGACCTTTTGTTCCCTACAACAATCAAGGTTGTCAGCAAAGGAACAACAACTACCAGCCTAGAGCGTCCTACAACCCTACAGGATTCAATGCCCAATCTCATGGACAAGCTTCCTCCAGCTCTCAAGACACTAAACTCAAGACTCTCATGCAACAAATGATCAACACTCAGGTCACCACAACCTTGGAAATAAACAAGAAGCTTGCAGAGGTCCACAACAAAATTGATTCAGTACATGTGGAGCTCACCAACAAGTTTGATGGATTGGCTGCAAGAGTCAAAACACTGGAGAACAACAAAGGCATAGCTGGTCCCAAGCCTCAAGGACACTTTCCTGGAAAACCAGAAGCTAACCCAAAGGAGTTCTGCAATGCCATAGTCATAGAAGAAGAGAGCTTCTCAGCTGAAGAGGAGGCTATCATTGAAGAGTTCCTCTACTTGTTCACTGAGGACACTGAACCTCAAAGTGGGGGGCGAAGAGTTCTTAGAAGTTGAAACTTACCAAGGAGCTGCAGAAGAAGAACCCTTTGAAGATAGGGAAAACACAGAAGAAGAAGAGTGGTGGGCGCCACATGAAGTTTTTGATAACACCAAGGACTACTTGGTTGAAGTTCCTGATGATAAAGAGAAGACTCAAGCTGCTATCCTTCCTGTTTACCAACAAACCATCCCTTTTCCAGGGAGATTCAAGGAACAGCTAGTGCAGAAGTATGAGACCCTCTATGCTGCTCAAATGGAAATGAGGGGTTTGAATGGCCAAGAGGAGCTTGAGAAGCTAAGGGTAAAAGCTGGAGCATCTGAGTTTCAGGAGTTTAATGTCAAGAAACTTGGAGATCCAGGATGTTTTACTCTCCCATGTGAGCTTAAAGGGCAGACCTTCAAAAGCTGTCTTTGTGATCTTGGAGCAAGTATCAACCTTCTCCCATCCTCTACTGCTAAAGCTCTTGGCTACACTCAACTTCAAGAGAGTAATGTGTCCCTTACTATAGCTGATGGGACAGTGAAGACACCACTTGGGAGTCTCAAGGATGTACCAATGATGATTGAAGGGGTAACCATCCCCACTGATTTCTTGGTGCTTGATGTGGAAGGCCATATAAAAAATGCTATCATCTAGGAAGACCTTTCTTAGCCTCAGCTGGAGCAGTGTTTGATGCCATGCACAATAGAGCTGAGACTGACCAAGAAGAAGGTTCTGAGGTTTGACTCCAAGGGGAATAAGCTGGAAAATGAGCAAGCCTTCTCAATGGACATCAAGAAGTTGAAGCAGCTTGGTAAACATTGGCCAGAGTTTGAAGGCTATGTTGGTGAAAGTTTTGATGGTTGCTGCTTAACCAAGCTGTTTGTTGATACCACTGAAGAGGAGGTCCTCAAAATGGGAGTTTCTGATTGCATGAATGAAGTTCTATTAGATGACAAAGAAGATGGGGTTGTCTTGAAGCCCTTTGTTTCTAGGAATGGTGAAGTCCACTACAAGATGAAGGGGAAAAAACCAAAACCCTTTGCTGTGTTGAAGGTTGATGGAGTCACCAGGAAGATCAAAGTGAGCACTGTAACACCAAGGAGTTCCAAGACTCCTTCTCAACACCTCCACTAGAAAGGTAAGCAAAGTCAAGCTTAGTGACTTTAAACAAGCACACTTGGGAGGTAGTCCCATGGTATCTTTTTGTATATATTATGCTTTCTAGTTTCTTTTTTATGCTTTGTTAATGTGTATAGAAACAGGAGTTCGAGTTGGGGGTTGAGAAAGTCTCTAAGGGACAAAGAACAGGTGCTTTCTGGCTGATATCGATCAACTGTATCGGTCATGACGAGATCGATACAGACCATATCGATCATTTGTGATCGATATCAGTGGAGCTGGATTGCACCAGTCACCATATCAATCATTTTTTATCGATAGGGAAGGGAGTCTGAAAGTGAATACCATATCGGTCATTCATATCGATCAAACACTGATCGATACAAACCCGCCGTATGAATTTCGGTCAGTGTATCGATCAGATGATGGCCGCTATGATTCACAGGAAGGGTATCGATCATTCGTATCGATTACTTGTGATCGATACTGAGCATATCGATCATTCGTATCGATCACTTGTGACCGATACCCGCCCGAGGTAAGTGTTTCATCTTTTCAAAAACATTTCCCTCCTTTGGTTTGGAGCCAAGGAGGTTTAAATTTAAACTTTGGATCCTCCCTGTCCACTTGCAGAGCTCCTGAGCACTTTTGTTCTTGTCCCCCCACTCTTTAGATTCCTTTGGTTCCCTCACCAACTTTTGATTCCTTTGGTTCCCCCTTCTCCACTCTATTTAAACCAACAATCTCCTCACTTCTCTTCACACTTCAGTTCACTACTTCTCTCACTTATAGCACGAAAATCTTAGTTATATCTCTCTTTTATTTGCTCTCTCTAAGTGCTCAGAAGCTTCACTAAGGTTTGCTTACTCAACTATCAATTTTTTGCATTTAATAAATGCATGTATTTATAATTGCTTAATATATGGTTTTAAGAGCAAATTTTGATTAGTTTTAACTGTTGTGCTTTGGTCTTGTATTGTGGATTTGTTTAAAGTGAGCAAGTTAGATGTTTAAGCTTTGTTTACTGTTCATCAATCTCATTCCTTGCTTGTTTACATCCCTTTGCATGATCATCATCTCCTTTGCCTAAGAACCACTTTGCTAGATTCCCATGCATAGCTGTTTTATTTTTATGAACTCTAGCTTATCTAAACTGTTAGCTTTTGAACTCCTCTTGCTTTTTGGAAGTTTAATCTTGTTGTTAAGACTTGTTAATCTTATCTTAGCCTAGAGAGTTTTCTTTTTAAAGCTTTCAGTTATATGGTTCTTCAGCTTTTGTTATTTCACGTATCCTATCTTCAAGCTTTGTTTTTGAAGGTACCATAAGGAAGATAAAAATAGCTGCTGGGAGGAAGGGAAAGGCACCACAGGAGGAAGCGCCCACCTCACCAAGAGCCAGAAGAGACAAAGGAAAGGGTGCTGCAGCTGAGCAATCATCTAAGGCTGCTGGAAAGAGACCAGTTTGGGGTAAGGGCGCCGATCAGAAAAAGAAGGACAAAACTGTGGAGGAAGAAGTCCCATACCATGAGCGAAGTGCTAGGGAACTCATGGTAGCTTTCAACCAGTGCACTTTCAAGCCAACAAGGTACCCTTGTGCTAGTACAATGAAAGCACTTGGGATCTACATGGAATGCAAGGCAGTGTTTGAGAACATTGAGCTTGAAAACCTCTTGACAACACCGCTTCCATCCTACCAACAACTCACTTACCAGTTTCTTTCCACTCTCTGAGTGGTCTAGTATGAAGACAGTGAGCTCTCTAATGGAGATGGGTGGTTCTCTTTCCAGATTGGCAAGCAGAGGTTCACCTTAACCTTCCTGGCTATCGCTAAAGCTCTTAATCTAAGGTCCTACACCAACAAGGGGAGCAGGTTTGACATCTCCAAGAAGCAGCACGCCATGCTGTGGGACGCTATTGGGACGCTATTGGGACTGGAAAATACATTGCTGAAACAACAAGAAACCAGCACCTGAAGCATCCTGCTGTGAGATATGCTCACAAGGCACTTGCAAACACACTCTTTGAAAGG